TCTTCTCTTTCCTTCTCTTCTCCCTCCTTCCCTTCCCTCCCCTCCCCTCTCCTCTCCTCTCTTCTCTCTTCTCTGTGTGTGTGTGTGTTTGTAAACCTTTTCTTTTCTGTTGCAGCTGTTCGGCTTCTTGATTCAATTCATAAGTATACATTATTAGCTTCCAGAATACACGCTGATTCTTGATGAAGCGTGTAAAATGATATAATCAGATCATGATCCATAGACTGATTTGGGGGGCGCAAACGTCCAGGCATGTCTTCCTAATCTCTCTCAATCTGGGATCACCTCGCAAACCAATTGAGCATCACAGCCACACACAGGCATCCACAGACAGAGAAGGGGCTGGTTGGGCCTGAGGTACCCCCAGTTGGGAATCGAACCCTAGTCTCCTATGTGGGAGGCACTGTGCTTAGGGTGTTTGATGACTAAGCCAGAGGTCAGCAGATCAAACCCACCAGACACTCCGAGGGAGAAAGCTAAGGCTGTCCACTTCTGTAAAGATTCACAGTCCCGGAGACCCCATGTGGCAGCTCTGCTCTGTGATACAAGGTCGCTGGAGGTCAGACACAAATGAATCCCAGCTGGTGACACTGTATCTCACGCCTGGTCCACTCTAGGAGAGACCTGCCTTCCCTCCACACTGTGTGTGTGCACAGTGACACACAGAGGCTACTAGAGAGATACTATGTATCTAGACTCTCAGGAGAGGCTACTAGAGAGATACTATGTATCTAGACTCTCAGGAGAGGCTACTAGAGAGATACTCTGTATCTAGACTCTCTGGAGCCCTGCTGGCACAGGAGGGGGACACAGTCAGCTGTCACCACAAGCTCAGGGGTTTGAACCCCACCAGCCGCTGCGAGGGAGAAAGACCCTTTGTCTCCTGTGCGATTTATGACCTTGGACAGCCAACAGAAGGCCAGCTCGCAGTCCCTTCTGACTCGGTGGCAATGAATCTGAGATGTTGACCTTCTCCTGACCCTCCTAACCTCTCCCCATGACAGATCCAAACATCCCAATTCGCCACATCAGGGTGAACCCTGAACAAGGACGACTCTTCTGGGACGTTGTTGGACCTGTCGACAAAATTAGCTGCTTTCGGGGCCTCAGGAAGGCCACGGTAAGCCAGCGTCTTTACCCAGTTCCCAGTGTTTGTAACACCAATATCACAAGGGGGGTGCTTTTATGAACAGACAGTCACTTTCTCACTGTTTAGACCCTAGCGGGAAGTCGGAATTCAGGATGCCAGCTCGAGGGAGAGGCTCAGTTGAGCTTTTATTCCTTGTTTCAAATTTTTCCTCGAATTGGCCACACTTCTTGAATGGTCAGCTTGGGTCCTCTTTCGATATGCTAGGCCTTTTGCTTTCTGTGTGGGTTTTCATTTTGGGGATTTTTTTAACCGTCTTGGAAGCAAGCTGACGTTCTAAGATGCCGTCGAGGCAGATCCGACTTAAAGTGGCCCCATGGACAAAATGATCAAATCCCCTGTCTTTTTTTTACTATTGTTGGCCAAAGACAGGGAGGTGGAGTGGCCCAGAGGCTGCAGTCACGGGCTCAGGTACATGCAATGGCAAGGATAACACAGGAACAGAGCAGGGGGTCACTGAGAGTCTTCACGCACTTGACAGCACCTCAAAACGACAGCACCTCAAAAATGACAGCCAGTCTTCTCGGAAGACATGCAGCTGCAACGAGCCTTCTTGAGGCAAAGACGATGATAGTGCATCTGTCTTACTTGGAGCTTGTGGACAAGAAGACGTATTCTTACACTTGTTTTTAAGGACCCAGTGTGCCAGCCCAAAGGAGGCTGGCTGAGCTCCCAAGGAGATGGGTCTCCGTTGCTGTTCAAATCTAGAACAAGGCTTAACATTAAGCCAAAGCGATCACAGATAGGTGCTGTCGGGTCCAGAACAACTCACAGTGACCTTGTGGACAGCAGCTCTGAACCGCTGTCCTGTCCTGTCCTGTCCTGTCCTGTCATCCTCTCTGAAACACTCGAGCCCATGGGTGTGGTAACCATGTCCACCCATTTCGGAGAGGGTTTCCCTCTCTCTCTGACCATCTACCTTCGCCACCAGGATACCTTTCTCCAAGGACGAGTCACAACATGCCCAAAGCATGAGCGACAAAAAATCTCACTGCCCTTATCTCTACAGAGATGGTTCCTCTCACGTTGATAAAGTCACCAATAAGACAGAGAAAATAGGTGCTCCTTAGAATAAGCCACCCTTGTATTTCTTGGTTGTTACGTGTCCTGAACTCGGAGCCCACTCACAGCTGACCCTTCAGGACTTTTTTTTTTTCCAGAAGGTGAGAGAAAATTTCCCATCTTTCCTCCACGGAGCAGCTGAGGGATTCAGCCCTTTCTATCTTAGAGTTCTCAGCATGACTCCTTATTAACCACCAGGTCACCAGAACGTCCTTAACCAACCGTATTGCAGTTTTCTCATATGTGGTGGGGGTCTAAACCGACTCATAGCTGATGCTACAGGTGTTTTTAGGAGGCTGGAAATCACACAGGAGAGGGAGGATGTCCCTATTTCCCTCCGTGGAGCCACTGACCCCTACGCCTTTGAGTGGATGGTGCAAATTCGTATGCACCAGGCCACCAGAGCGCCCTGTTAACCAAAGAAGGTCAAAGACAGCCAGCCTCATAAGCCCCAGATGACAGCATGAGGAAAGGAAATGGATTAGTGGAAATGAGAACCATAGAGATGGATGAGGGGAAATGCTATTATTAAAAGGACATTTCCTTAGCTTTCTCCAACAAAATGGGTATCAATCATGGAACAGGAAATGGATTTATCTTGTAAACTGTCATGCACAGCACAGGAAAAAAAAATACAAAAGATGGGTTTTTTTAATTTTTTACATAATTAATTTCTGAGCACCGTTCTCTGAAACATACAGGGTCCCTGTGAGTCACAATCAATGGACTTTTTGGTCTGTTGTTATTTCTGTATTAAAAATTAATAACATTTAAAACTTTACTAATTCATTTTAAAATAATACACACTTGGTAACATCTATGTTTTCTATGAAAAAAT